TCATTGACAGCTCCTTACCTCGAGAAGACGTCTCAACTTGAACGCCATGTCGCTTAGCCTTCTCAACAGCACCATGCGCGCTGCCGTCATGACGGGGCCGTATCAAGTTCATATCGATCAGTTCCCGATGCCACGCATCATCAATACGACTGATGCAGTAGTTCGTATCACAACTTCGGCGCTTTGTGGTTCAGACCTCCACCGATATCATGGCTATGTGGGAGGGGAGCCACCATGGGCGCTAGGTCACGAAGCTAGTATGGACCTACTCCTCGGGCAAGAGGATGTCCTATTAAACCACATGAAAGCTAACAGTTGTACAGTGGGATACATTGAGTCCATCGGTAGTGGTGTATCTTCTTTGGAAGTAGGGCAATATGTCATCATTCCAGATAATGGCGCCACTGGACACATTGATATGGGAGTTGCGACTGGACCTCGAATGGGCCTACCCTTTGGAGGTCTTAACGGAGGTCTCCAAGGTACTTACGCTCTCAGATTCTTCTCAAAAGCCCTCGAATCTTCGTTACTAATGATGATTGACCAGCTCCTTACGCCCGAGTACCGTTCGCTGATATGGCTCTTATCCCCGTCCCCCTGACCGCCGAGACCACCAACACCAGCATCGAACAAGACTACCTGACCGTCTCCGATGTCTTCTCCACCGGATGGATCGCTGTCACTAAGTCTGGTTTTGAGCCCGGTGACACTGTTGCTGTCTTTGGTGCCGGTCCTGTAGGCCTGCTCGCCGCGTACTCCGCCATACTTCGCGGTGCATCTCGGGTGTACAGCGTAGACCATGTCCCCATGAGACTCGAGAAGGCCGCATCCATCGGAGCCGTGCCAATCAACTTCATGGACAGCGATCCCGTACAGCAAATTCTCGCATACGAGCCTGGTGGTGTCATCCGGGCCGTCGACGCTGTCGGCATGGAAGCCATTACTGCCAACGGTACAATGCAGCAAAACATCGTGCTGAATCAGATGGTCGAACTTGTCGCTTCAGGTGGCGGGATTGGCCAGATTGGAATCTACCTGGCCCAACTAAACACTGGTTTGGCTCCGAATGCAGAGAGAATTACGCCGGAAGTCTCGTTTCCCCTCACCCAATTCTTTTCGAAGGGTATCAGATACGAAGGTGGTATCGCAGATCCCGAGACTGTCGCTGGGGAGCTCGTCAACTTGATTTCCAGAGGTATTGCGAAACCAGGCTTCGTGGCTAGCGCATCTATCGACATTGAGGAAGTCCCTACATACTATGAGCGGTTGAGCAATCAACAGGAGCTCAAGGTATTCATCAAGTTCCCTTGAATAATGAACTCGATGACCGACTAGCCTGTATAAATGGGCTGAGTGCATCTGCAGGATATCCCAGCACCCTTTCTGTACTTGGAGTCACGGGTTGTGTCCATCCTCTCGACATTTAGACTCAGAGAGTTTACTAGCCAGGAGGCGACGGGCTTTGCGGAAGCACAGATTTCAAGAGGACGGTTTATCTGACTAGAGGTTGCTCTCACTAAACTTCAATTTCTTGTACATATTACGTAGTTGGAATAACTTGAGACTAGCTGCCTGTTCTCATCAAGACTTATCTATGACCAGATCCAAAATTGTAAGATTTGGCCCAGTCCATCTCTTCCCTTTGATGAACCACAGACCTACTGCAACCAGCAGGACGAAGACCATGACTGGTCCGCAATAATTCATGTTCTCTGCAGTTACAGGAATCGTCGAAGGGAAAGGTAGGAATACAATGACATAAAGGGTGTAAACCAAGGCAAATGAGTTGATGTAAAGACCGAAGCGACCAAGGTTCCACTCTCCTAGTTCAACACCTCCTTTGGAAGAGAAACGAGCGTACAACATGCTGCTGATTGCGATCGCATAGCTGAGGTAGAGAGCCATGGATGAGAGGGAAGTGATAGCGCCAAAAGCAACATAACTCGAACTTCCAATGTTGAGAAGACAAAGAGCACAAACAATGAACACCGTGACGATAATGGCGCGAATCGGTACACGGTGCTTTGGGTGGACGTATGCCAGATAAGCAGGCATGCCTCCGTCCCTGGACCAGGCCCAAGTGAGACGGGATACGGAGGAAATGTTGGCCAAGTTGACGCTAAAGGAAACAACAAAGAGGCCGGTGATCATGGCCGTCGTGGCGCCCTTGGAACCAGTAATGCTGAGAAGAATGGTGAGAATTGGGCTGGCTGAGTTGAGAGCATCGTCAATCGAGCCCATTGAGACGAGAATGACGCAGACCATGATGAAGCCAAGGCATCCGTTCATGAAGATGGACCAGAACATGGCGCGAGGGACCGCAAACTTGGCCTTTCGGGTTTCCTCGCTCATGTGAATGGCACTGTCGAAACCTGGACAGATTGTTAGTTGAAACGTTGGAGTATCTTTGAAAGATTTGGTCATACCGGTGAAACTCCAAACACAGGTCAGCATGCCGAGATTCCAAGCAATGAACGTATCCGTCCATCCAGACGCAATGTTGGTTTCCAAGAAGAAGCTGCTCGAGTGTCGAGTCCCCATCACGGCCAAAACCACGACAAAGACGACGAACAAGCAGACATGAAGGACTCCAGCCACAAGCTCAACCCACGGGATCACTCTAAAGCAGTACGTGTTCATCAAACCCTGAATAATGCACATGGCGATGACGAGCACCGAGGTGTGCCAACCTCCCGGCACATAGTCGGGATGGTTCAGCTCAATCATAGACTCTAGGAGGATGATGGTGACGTTCGCGATGCCAGCAAGGAGCGACACATAACCAAACCACGTCGACCATCCCTGGATCCAGGTAGCGAAGCGCTTGACGCGTGCGGGGGCGAGGTGGAACGTCCAGTGGTACTGGGCACCGGCGACGGGTTGGATCGAGGCCATCTCGCCCAACGAAGCGGCTTGTGCGATGGCTCCGCAAAACACTATGACGAAGCTGAAGATGAACGTTTGAGGGCCGCCATTGTAGAGTGCAAAGTACATGTTTCTTGGGATTCGGTTAGACCAAGGCCGAGAATCTCTTGAGTGAATCGGCAATTTACTTACGTGCACATGCCTTCCCATAAGGCCATGTAGGTCAACGAAAATGCGAAGAGCTGGGAGAAGGAGAACACTCTCCGCGTCCGCGTCTGGTTGTAGACTTCGGATCCATGTTTTGACTCGTTTGCGTCAATCTGACTGGCGTCTTTGGCGGTGGGCTCCAGCTCGATTGCTTCTGTGGGAGCCATGATGAGATGCTCGACAGACCAATTGAGGCAGAATTGGAAGGGAAGTCAACAACAAGAAAGCGTTCTGAGCTTTCTGGATGTAAAAACAAGGATGAAGTATATGCTTTCGATCCTCGGCACAGGAAAGAGTCTCTTCAAGGGGTCGAGTTGGGTAAAATCAGAAAAGCCGGGCAGCACCTCCACAGCCTTGGCCAAATGTTGCACCATATGCACATAATTATCAGCAGGTGTAACCACAGACAAGAGAAATCTGAGACAATAACCCTAGTAGCCGCAGTAAGCTGGCAGATAGATGGGCCACTCTGAATATGGGAAATGATTGGTGAAGGGAGTCTACAGTTACGGCTGGCTGATGAAAATCAAAACCAACGAGGATTTAATCAAAATTTCGGACTAGGTTCCGCTGAATATGCATGTTGAAGCAAACACCGCTTCCTTGATGGGAACTGTTACCGACCAACAGGTGGCCTCCGCGGTGGGTTCGAGCCGGGGTTCCTGCATGCCGGGAGGGGTTCGACCACACGGACTCTACCCGTACCGTTCCCGGAGCTACTTGGCATCACCGGACCCTCCAAACTTTGCAGTCAGATCGATCACATATGGTATCTGCTGGTCAGATTCCGTTGTGGTCATCACTTCGTTAGTCATGGGCTGAAGAATGCCCGGACACCAGGGTTACGCGCCTTTGCTCCCATGTATTCGTCACTTCTCCGTGCGATCCCCCATCACGACTCAGGGTGAGGGAATCGATATCTAAGTTACCTGCGGGTATTGCATTTCGACCCCAAGTGAATTTGGTCCGATTATCCGAGCTTGCCTGCACAGAATGCAACCCGACGTATCGATCGATCTCATAACGATGGTCTGGATGCTTGCATGTGGCTAGGGTTAGGGACTGCTGTCTCCTGCGTGGCGTGTGTCCGTGAACGCTAATTGGGCATTATCAAGTAGGAGAGCAAACTTTGCCAAGTTACGAGCGGAAGCTTACGATATACCTTACCAATTCAAACTTTACGCACTGGAGTCTTGGTACGAACACATGAAGTGCGATGTCTCCAACAGTTCCAACAAAACCTGCCAGGTTAGTCTTATGAACCAGACTCGAGATGAGTTCAATCTAATTGCCCGACATCTCATTTACTCCTTTGACTCCACATCATATGTATCACGAAACTTCTCGTCACATCAGATGTTGTCCCACAGGCAAACTCCGCTTCCATCCTTGCAACGAGTAACAGAACCACAGTCGAAATTTAACCACGCGCACACAGACAGCCTTTCTTGAGAACCTGATGGAGGGAATTTACCTATAAAATGATGCCAAAGGTTGGGTAGGCAGTCTGTCACCCTTCTTTCGCATGGGAGAGGACCTCATCGTAGGGGACCCCCCCGTACTGTATTACCTGTATCTAGCAAGTGCACATACATGTTTAACTCACTGAATACCTGACAGAATTCACACACTAGGATTTTCGGTCCAAGCGACCCTGCTATAGACCCGGTGTTGGTTGCTTTGCTTGACACACGGCACAGAGCTACTGTATAGATCTTCGCAAACTATTCCGGATTCTGGTCAGAACCCCGGGTCGTTGGATCGATGAAGAATTACCCAAACAATGACCATGGGCCCGCCCTCCCCTCGTAGTTCATTGATTACAAAGTTCAAACACTCTGCAACCCCATCAAAGAAACAGTAAAGCAACGACTATGAGGCTCAATTGAATTCCTCTAGCAAAGATCCAGCTGTTGAGCCAGCCAAACATGGTAGTCGGCATTCAACCAGATCCTCCATTTTACGCATTGACGGGAGACGATCAAGCTGCGCTGGTCGTTGTCGCCTCGCTCATCTTCCTCATTTACGCCATCGTCGGAATATCTTTGAAGCTTATAATTCGTCTCAACATCACCTCTTTGAAGAGTCACGATGTAATACTATTAGCCGCGACCGGATTACTTCTCTCCCAGACGGTCTGCATCATCATTGCTTGCAACCATGGACTAGGCCATCATCAAGATGTAGTGGAGCTTTATGATCTCGAGGCATTTCACGAGGTATGTCGTCATACAGCAAGAGCAGAACCAGAGACGAAATTGACCAAAGATCATAGCTCTTCTACGTTTCCTCTTTACTTGCGATTGCGATTGCCGCTAGCACGAAAATTTCACTATGCCTCCTCATCCACTCCATCAATAATCACGGACGACTGAATCTTGCGAACAAGGTACTCTTCGGTGCCATCGTTTCTTGGGGCATCTCGGGAATAATGACGACGACCTTTCAATGCTCCCTACCGCAGCCGTGGCTTGCCACTGCTGGTGAGAAGTGCCCAGGCCGAGAGGGTATTTTCCTCTACAACGGCGTGATGGACATCCTTACGGACGTTTGTTTATGTCTGCTACCCGTCGCTATGATGTGGAAAGTGCAGACTACGTTGAAAAGAAAGGCAATGGTGGTTGCTCTCTTCACCACGCGCATCATCTAAGTTGCTCCGATATTTCACTTCGAAGTTGTATTAATTGACAAATCTTGCGCACAGCATTCCCATAATCACAATTCCGAGACTAATTTACACACATGCCATGGTTACAGACTATGCTGACGCGACATGGCACGCTGTACATCACTTTACCTGGTTGCAAGTCTCACTAGGCATGTCAATACTCACAGCATGCATCCCAAGTCTGAAGGGGGTCATCGACAGCCTCCTCGGGTCTACCTCCGTGGCAGCCATCCAGGCACCTTACCATTTGGCCTCGTCAGGCAGAGACGGCAGTAGGCTTCAACCAACGAGTTTGCCGATCGGCAGCGGGTCCAACACGAGACCGGGGTCTCACCTGGCGAGCGGCGCAGGAGATTCGAGGATCGCGAGGGCTGGTTTGGCTAGAGTACCCGACTGGTCGATCGGTTGCGGGGTCCACGGTTATGCAGAGAAAGTAGATTTCGGTCGCAGTGAGAGTGTGAGGAAATTGACTGAAGATGGAGAGTTTGGGGCGTCTTCTGATGAAAGGCGGAGATCGAACTCACAAGAGGGGTCCATGAAGTCTGCTGAGACTGACTTGCGATTGTAAATTGAGATCATTTGATCATTTGCATGACAAACGAGACCAACTATGTCAATTGAGCTCTGAGGGGAAATCTTCTTGGTCTCGAATCACAGCTCCGTATTTTCGGATAGTTTTCGGAGGGAAAAGGAATTCGTGACTCATCTCATTAGATTTGGAGATGGAATCAGCCATGAGTGAGCTTGGCAGCACAATATCTCACAACTCTATGTTCCTGGCTGTACAAATTCAATTGGATGAGTCAAATATGACCTGCAAGACGCTGAAGAATCTGCGACAAGTCATTCTATTTCATTCGCGTACACGAGCACGGGAACTTTGATGAGAGCGAGTGAGCGAATGAGATCTCACACTGGTAACCCGAGGTGGCGCGATCCTACCTTACATAGTGCTGCGGGTTCGGGGATCCGGAGTAGTGGAGACGGACCCACCAGTTGATCCGCTTAGAGTACGTACAGTATCCGGAGTCGACGGGAGTCGGAATGCATTGCCGGCGTAAAAACTTTCTCTTCTTGTTGCAGTCGCACGGACAGTTGTGTAAGCTGTGTTCCTGACCTTGTCCTTCCCATTTCCATCCCTAATTATCCCTCGCATTCGCGGTGCAGAACGGCCCGATCCCAAGACGCGTTTGACACCAACCAATCCAGACGGAGAAAGTAAAAGAAAAAGAAGACAAAGGCGGGCAACGATCCTGGAAGAACACACAGACTCCCTCTGATGCACCTCAGCTTTGGGCTAATCAAAGCAAACCTTACGGGAACCTAAAATCCTCAGCTGGGCCCCTGGCTGCTACCTTGAAGACTTAATTGAAAACCCAACACCTGCCACCTCACCTTTTCTCCGCCCTACCCTTCCCGTGTCATCTCACACCCTCGTTCTGCGACCGAAAGTAGAGCCGTCCCCCCCGCCATGGACCCCCGCGACCGAGACGACCGCACCGGCGAGACCACGCCGCTGCTGTCGGATCAGCCGCACCACAAGCCGGACATTGAACCGGCGGGTAGCGGTGGTTGGCTGTCGGAAGCATGGCTCCTCTGTCGGTACTCATTACCGCTCATCGCCACCTATTTGTTACAGTACTCATTCACCGTCATCACGACATTCGTGGCTGGCCACCTCAGCGCCGATGACCTCGCCGCCGCTAGCATTGGTCTGACGACCATGAACATCATCGGCCTAGCTATCTACGAAGGCATGGCTACGGCCCTCGATACCCTCTGCGCCCAGGCCCACGGCTCTGGTCGCCTTACCGCTGTCGGCCTTCATGTCCAACGCATGCTCATTCTCATGGCCCTCGCTACCGTCCCCATTGGGCTCTTCTGGGTCTTTTCGCCATCGGTTCTCTCTCTGTTCGTCAAGCAGCACCACTTGGCCCTCAAGGCCGGCACGTTCCTGCGTGTCAGTCTGATCGGTATGCCCGGCTACGCCGGCTTCGAAGCCCTCAAGAGGTTCCTCCAGGCCCAGGGCGACTTCAAGAGCGCCATGGTCGTCCTCATCATCTGCGCTCCCATCAACGCCCTCCTCAGCTGGCTGTTCGCTTTCAAGTTGAACATGGGTCTGGAAGGCGCTGCCCTGGGCCAGGCGCTGGCCAACGACCTGCGTCCCGTCCTTCTGCTCATCTATATCGTCGTCTGGGGCCAGTGGTCGCACCAGTGCTGGGGTGGATTCTCTCGCAAGGCCTTCACTGAGTGGAGCGTGCCGGTGCGACTCTCCATTGCCGGATCGGCTGTCAACCTGGGCGAGTGGGCTGCCTTTGAGATCTTGACGCTCAGCACATCCTACCTGAGCACCGAGCATCTTGCCGCACAAACTATCTTGACGACCATCTCCGTCGTCATGTGGCACATTCCCTTCTCAATCTCGGTTGCCATCAGCACCCGTATCGGACACCTCATCGGCGGCGGGCTCGTAGCGACCGCTCGGCGAGCTACGACCGTATACGCCATCGTCTTTACCGTCGTCGGTATCCTGGATGCCATTCTAATCTTCCTATTCCGCCACCAGCTCGCCCTTGTATTCTCCGAGGACGCCGAGGTCCAAAGGCTCACGTCCGATTCTATGCTTGCGGTCGCGGCTTTCCAGCTCATCGACTCCATCATCAGCGGATGTAACGGCGTGCTGCGGGGTCTTGGCCGGCAGGCGGTCGCGGCTTTTGTCGTGTTTGCCGTGAACTATCTGGCTGCAGTACCCCTCGCGGTCTGGCTCGAGCTGGGATCACCAGGCCTAGAGCTGGATGGTGCCTGGATAGGCCTCGGTGGCGGCATGGTTGTCATCGCCATCATTGAGTGCATTTACATGAAGGTGATCCGATGGCAAGACTGTGTCGAAAGTGTGAGAGATAGAGAAGGCATGTAATGGATTCATTCCAATTCAACAAAAAGCGGACTAGCATACAGATACCATAGACAAGTTAACTAGACTTTATTATTCTCACGACACTTCAGTCCCTCCGACTGGAACGAAACTTCATCTTGGCGGCACCGTTGTCCCTAGTTCCCTCTTGAATGTGCCGCTAAAGAACACTATTTAGGTGACGTATGCAGTGTGACAGCATTTGACATATGGAGGTGTTGAGACGGAGTCGCGTGAAGGAGAAACCACCTAGCGAGGACCACCTCAGCCCCTTTTCAGTGGGGCTTCGCCTTATGTCAGCGAGAGTCCATGAGGACAGTGCGATGCACAGTCTTCACACCCAACCATGGGCATGTCGAATGGACGATTTGCACCTTCACTTCACGTCTGCAACCATCCCCATCCTGAAAGCACAACCTCAAACAGCAACCTGCCGGCTTGCTCCATCCCGACAACAAATTCACTCAGGACTTCTGATCAATATCAAAGTCTGGTGACCACTGCCGCCGTTTAAGGCTGCCTAGCCCATCTCGCATCGCCACTAAATGGCGGTACGTCGACGTTGAGAATACACGATGTCCGGCACCGGGGTCCAAGCCCATCCCAATGCTGCTCAGGAGCGGCCGCCTTGTACGGTGTGCTTCGATCTCGGCAAGGCGCATTTGCTTGAATCGGGCGACTCCAGGGGATTTTCCTGCGATCTCAGGAGCATTATTAAGGCCGGCAAGAAAGGATGTCAAATATGTTACGCCATCAAAGTTGCCATCTTTTGGGCCAATAATGTCAACGTTCCCAAGAAGAGGCTGATGCTTGATGATTCATACGCCATCATTTACCTGTTTGAGACTATCTCTGTCCAATCAACTGTCAAATATCGGAACTCCGCGAACAATGTCGTTGTCGTGAAGGGCCTAGTCGATTTGTTCACGACACCAGGTGAGAAAGTGATGAACCTTGAGGGGGCTTTGGGGATGGATATTGACATACTCGCAGGCAAGCCGCTGCCGTGGAAGTCTATCGGAATCTCTAATGAGATTCCTCTCAAACTACACTCTAAACATCGGCAGAACACGATCCGTGGATGGGTCGATGAATGCAACGCAACACACGAGGCATGCGGCACGAGGATGTACCCGTCTGAGCCCGGTCTTGCTCCTCGGCGGTTCCTGGATCTTGGTAAATGCCCGCGGAATGGTATCAAAGTGGTCAACTCTTGTTCAGTCTCCGGGCCCTACATCACCGTCGTCCACGGCTACACCGGTCCGTTACCGGCTCCTTCATCGTTGACAACCTCGGAAAACTTCAACCAGCGCCAAATGTGCTTGCAGTGGTGGCAACTACCTGTGGCCCTGCAAGAAACCATGACGATCGCTAGCGAATTGGGTATCCAATATGCTTGGGTCCAAGATTTCTGCGTCATTCAAGACATCGAAGAAGACGTAAACTGGCACTTGGCTCGAGAGGATATCATCTTTGGACGGTCATACCTCACTATCGCCTTGACAAGCGTGGAAGATCTCAGGCTGAGCAGTTTCGGCCCCGAGCGACAGAGCAGCATAGCCAGCGTCGAAAAGAACAGTATAGCCAGCGTCGAAAACGCGGGTAAATCCCTTGCCATCCAAGTCAGTAAATTTGGCCGCAAACACTATATTTATGCTCGGCAGAGTATGCATTGGTATCACGCGGCATTCGCCAACAAGACCTTGCTACGGCCCATGGATGATGACGAAGAATCAAATGCGTTTGAAGAACACCATGGACTCTTCCAGCATGCCCCTGCTTTTCAGCGCCTTTTGCTGTCTCGCAGGGTGCTTTATCTGCATAAGTCAGAGCTAGTGTGGGACTGCCTTGAACGACCCAGATGCGAGTGCGATAACCCAATGTACTTTGGGCAAGGACAAAAGTTTGTACAGAACATCCTGAAGAAACCCACCTGGATCTCGCGCGGGGCCGTCGGGTCGGGGGGCGCCGTCGGGTCTCCCGACTATGTGCTCAGGCTTTATAAAACCCTAACGCCGACCGACCCCGAAGAGAGGCTGGCAGTTGTCGCCGGCCTCTTTCGACACATCCTTCGCCTCAATGGAAGATCCCACTTCGCCGGCATCGCAGTAGACACACCTGAACAGCTGTCGCTTGACCTTCTATGGACCACCCTGCCGCCTGGGAGGGCGCAACCAAACCAGCTTGACCAAGATTCAACATCTATCCCAGACGCATATCGACATCACACCAATCGCATCCCGTCATGGTCCTGGGCATCCATGGTTCTGAGCAAGGGGACCACCTTTGGAGGAGCCTCGAGTCTATCGCCAGGCTACACATTCGACTCCTTCTATCGCAGTATGTCATTCGGCTCAGTGGAGATGTTCTACGACAAGTTGCCTGGATCCGACGATAGTCTGCTAGCCACCAACTACCGCATAAAAGCCAAAGCGGCGATTCTACCGGTCACTGCCGTGCCACCGATGGGCAGAAGGCCCCGAATCCCACACCTGTTTAGCTGTTACGACGGTGATCCCTTACATTGCGATTCTCACATGATCTTCCGGTTTCTGCCGGATTGCGCGAGGCTTCGCGGTTCGTTCCAAGCCAGTGAGGGGTTCAAATGCTACATTATGCTGCTAGGCGTCATGACGCCAGTTGGGCATGAGCTG